AGCGCTGCCCATATGGGAATGGCTCTGAGCCGGGATGGGAACAACACCATCGTGAGTGGGGGATGTGGGCTGGGTGGGGGGCAGGTATGGGGCTGATAGGGCGCTGAAGTCTGCCCCACAGATCATCTTTTATGGGGTCTCCATGGGGCGGCTATGGGGCATCTTTGGGGTCTCTATGAGGCAGATATGGGGCTGATGTCTGCCCCACAGATCATCTTCTGTGGATCACAGAGGAACTCTCTGGGGTTTCTACAGGGCGACTATGGGGCTGATGCTCCTATGGGTCTCTATGGGGCAGCTCTGGGGTCTCTCTGGGGCGGCTATGGGGCAGCCCTGAGCCCTGCCCCACATCCCAGGCTTGCGGCCCCGGGCTGAGGTGGGAATGCAACCACAACATCCACGTTGGGGGGGTCTGCACCGTGCTGGACCCCGAACTGCGGCCACTGCAGGTGTTGGAGGCTGGACATCAGGGTGAGACTGGGGGGGGTGTGGGGCTGCCCCCCAAGCTGTGGGTCCCTATGAGTCCCTATGGGTCTCTATGGGGTCCCTACATATCCGTATGGGTCCCCATGTGTCCCATGTCCGTCTGGGGCAGGCTGTGTTCCCAGCATGGTGGACCTGGTGTTCCTGTTCGACGGCTCCGGCAGTCTGAAAGCACATGAGTTCAAGGCCATCCGGGATTTCATGGTGGAGGTGATGGAGCAGCTGAGCAACAGCTCCTTCAGGGTGAGCACCGGGGGGTGTGGGCCTCTCTGGGGTCTCTGTGGGCCTCTCTGGGGTCTCTGTGGGCCTCTCTGGGGTCTCTGTGGGCCTCTCTGGGGGCCCTACGGGTGTATAGGAGTCTCTATGGGTCTGTACGTGTTTCTGTGGGTCCCTATGGCGTCTCTGTGGTGTCGGTATGGGATGTCCGCACATCCGTTTGTCCATCAGATCGCAGCCGTTCAGTGCTCCGATTCCCCTGAGCCCGTGTGTCTCTATGGGGTCTGTAAGGGGTCTGTGTGGGCGATGTGGGGTCTCCACGGGGCCCCTGTGGGTCCATAGGAGTCTCTATGGGGTCACTATGGTGTTTCTATGGGGTCCCTATGGGGTATCTGTGGGGCAGCACGGGGCCTCCACGGGGTCGCTGTGGTGTCAGTACGGGACGTCCGTCTGTCCGTCAGTTTGCAGCCGTGCAGTTCTCGGATTCCCCGGAGCCGGTTTTCTCTCTCCGCGATTACTCGGAGCGGCCGCAGCCCCGGGAGCTGCTGCGCGACGTCCGGCAGCAGGGCGGCTTCACCGACACCTTCAAAGCCGTCCAATATGTCGCGTGCGTGTCAGCTGACCGCCCCACGTGACCGCCCGCCCGTCACGTGACCGCCCGCCTCCCTGCGCTCGCTGTGTCTCCTGGCACCCTGTCACGTGACCGCCCGTCTGTGACTTCGGGCTGCGCGACCAACTGTTGCTGACTTCCTGTCACGTGACCGCCCGTCTCTGACTTCGTGCCGTGTGACCGCCTGTCTGTCACGTGACCGCCTTGTCTGTCGTGTGACTGCCTGTCCGGTGACTTCCTGTCACGTGACCGCCTGTTTTCGTGTGACCTCTGTGACCACCTGTCATGTGACCGCTTTGTCTTGTCACGTGACCACCTGACTGTGAGTTCCTGTGACGTCCTGTCATGTGACCGCCCGTCTCCCCGCACTCACGCTGTGTCTCCCTGCGCCGCATCATGTGACTGTGTCATGTGACCGCCTGTCAGTCACGTGGCCGCGCGCCTCCCCGCGTGGCGCTGTAGGTGCTCTCAAGGCCCCCCGCCGTCCCCGTGTCCGCCCCCCAACCCCCCTCTCCCCGCAGGGAGCAGATCTTCACGGTGGAGAACGGCTCCCGGCCCGGCGCCCGCCGGGTTCTCATCATCATCACCGACGGCGACGCCACCGACAGCGGCACCGTGCAGGCGGCCGAGGAGCGCGGCATCGTGCGCTACGTCATCGGGGTGCGGGGCCCCCATAGGGAGGGACCAGCCCCCATAGGGAGGGACCAGCCCCATAGGCACCAGCCCCCATAGAGAGGGACTGCCCTCATAGGGACCAGCCCCATAGAGAGGGACCACCCCCATAGGACCCCCCCACCTGACCCACCCCCCTCCATGGAGACCCCCCACCTGACACCTCCCCCCCATAGGAGCCCTCACAGAGACACCCCCATAGGACCCCCCCAGAGACCCCTGCTACATAAACCCCCCCCATAGGACCCCCCTGCCCCCCCCAACATAAAGCCCCCCATAGAGACCCCCCCCTCCTAACTCCCCCCTCCCCAGCTGGGTGAGAACTTCAATAACGACGAGAGCAAGAAGAAGTTGGAGCAGCTGGCCTCCCAGCCCAGCCACCATTTTGTCGCCGTGCTCAAAGAATTCGAGCACCTGCAGGGGCTCTTCAGGGAGCTGCAGGACCGGATCTACGCCATTGAGGGTGGGGTCACCTGGGGTCACGGGGGGTTGTCGTTTGGGGTCACATGGGGTCATCGTTTGGGGGCACACGGGGGTGTTCGGGGTCGTCTTACGGGGTTGCTTGGGGTCACGTGGGGTCATTTGAGGTCATTATTCAGGGCCATATGGGATCACATGGTGTCATTTGGGGGCGTTTAGGGTCACGTGGGGTCATTGTTTGGGGTCACCATGTGGGGTCATTTGGGGTCACCATATGGGGTCATTTGGGGTCACCACATTGGGTCACCATGTGGGGTCATTTGGGGTCACCATATGGGGTCACGGGGGTAATTTGGGAGCGTCATCTGGGGGTGTTTGGGGTCATCATATGGGGTCACTTGGTGTCACTTGTGATCATTTGAGGTCGATCTGGGGACACTAATTGGGATCATTTGGGGTCTTTTTGGGGGCCATTATTGTGGTTCCCCCCCATTTCCAGGCACTTCAGCTCAGCACCGCTTCCATTTGGAGCTCAGCAACGCCGGGATCAGCGCAGCCAGCTTCAATGTGAGGAGACCCCAAATGGGGGGGGGG